CTTCCTCCATCGTCAGGGCAACCAAGCCTCATGTTCGCTTCAGCTGCGTGGCTGCCGGCCGCCATCTTGGTTGGCAGTTAATTTGCATATTGCCCTGATTAGCCAATGGGAAGCATATCGGAGGTAAGGTTAATTACCCTATTTGTCTTTTATTAGACTAGATAGATAGATATATATATCTACACTAATAAAAGAGAAACATGCAAATTGGTGTCAGTCCGCTACACCCACCAGCCAATCAGAGTGACTATGCAAATTAACCCAACAAAGATGGCGGTTAATTTGCATACACAGGCTTGGAGTGAAGACTGAAGTCTAAAGAGGCTTGGCTTCTCCGCTGTGGCCGGACCAAAGGCCCGCATCCCAGGTGCTGGAGGAAAACCGGTGCCAGCAGCCGGGGAAGGAAGGCCAATTGCGCGAATCTTCCTGCAACAGGCTTCTAATATATATAACCAACAAGTTCACATATCAGTGGAAATATAAAAGATTGTAATGGCTATAAGTAAAGGTATGGAGGAGACATTTTAACACTATAGGCATGACTTTAATTTTTAATCAGTTTCATTGATATATAATTAAAATATAATAAAATTCATTAATTTTCAGAGTAGTTAGATGAGTTTTGTCAATACATGTAGTTGTGTATTTACCAGCAGAATCTAGATTTAGAACGTTTTGATTCCCTTAAAAAGTTTCCTATGTCCCTTATATTAATCCCCTCTTCCATTCCCAGCCCTTGGCAACCATGGATCTGCTTTCTGTCACTGGTTTTACTTTTTCTAGAATTTCATATAAACAGAATCATACAGTGAGTGGTCTTTGTTTCTGGCTTCTTTCACTTAGCATAATACTATTGAGATTTATCCATATTGTTGCATGTAGCTGCAGTTTTTTGCTTTTTTATTGCCTAGTAGTACTCAATTGTATGGATATACCACAATTTATCTATTCACATTGATGAACATCTAAGTTGTTTCTCATTTTTTTCCTTTCATTTTTTAAAATATATTTTTATTGATTTCAGGGAGGCAGGGAGAGGGAGAGAGATAGAAACATCCATGATGAGAGAGAATCATGGGTCGGCCGCCTCCTGCACGCCCCCCACTGGGGATCGAGCCCCCAACCCGGGCCTGTGTGAAGGTTTCACAGGTGAGGAAAGTGAGGCCTGAGAGCGGGAGGGACTAGTCCAGCCGTGGGCAAACTACGGCCCGCGGGCTGGATACGGCCCGTTTGAAATGGATAAAACTAAAAAAAAAAAAAAAAAACCCGTACCCTTTTATGTAATGATGTTTACTTTGAATTTATATTAGTTCACACAAACACTCCATCCATGCTTTTGTTCCGGCCCTCCGGTCCAGTTTAAGAACCCATTGTGGCCCTCGAGTCAAAAAGTTTGCCCACCCCTGCTCTAGCCACTGAGCCAAACCAGCTAGAGCTCCTTTCATTTTTAATTGATTTTTTCTTATGGTAAAATATATGTAACAAAGTTTATTTTAACCATTTTAAAGTATACAGTTCAGTGGCATTAATTACATTCACAATGCTGTCTAACTATCACCACTACCTATTTCCAAAAATTTCCATAACCCTAAACAATAACTCTGTAACCACTAAACAGTAACTTCCCATTCCCCCCTCCCTACAATCCTTGGTGATCTCTAATTTTTCTAGTTCTATGAGTTTGCCTATTCTGGATATTTCATATATATATATGTGGAATCATACATATTTGTCTTTTAGGGTCTGGCTTATTTCAGTTTTCAAAATTCATTCAAGTTCTAGCATGTAACAGAACTGCATTTCTTTTTATGGCTGAATAATATAGTTATTCATGTATGTATATACACATTCATCTGTTGGTGGACACTTAGGATGTTTTCATATTTCTAATTTTTAGTTATGAATAAAGCTGCTATGGACATTCAAGTACTAGTCTCTATGTGGACAGATGTTTTCATTTCTCTTGGATAAATATGTAGAAGTGGAATTACGTGATCATTCGGTAAGTGAATGTTTAACCTTATAAGAAACTGCCAAGTTTATTTCCCAAGTGGTGGTACCATTTGCATTCTTACCAGGTCTCTCTGGGAGTTCCAGTTGCTCCACATCCTCACTGACACTTGGTATAGTCCAACTTTTTAACTATCACAATTCTAGTGGGTGTGTAGTGGGATCTTATTTTGGTTTTAATTTGCATTTCCCTGTGTTAATCATGTTGGGTATCTTTTCATGTTCTTAGTTGTCATTTACATATATACTAGAGGCCCGGTGCACAAAAATTTGTGCACTCGGGGGAGAGGGGGGGGACCCTCAGCCCAGCCTGTGCCCTCTCGCAGTCTGGGACCCCTCAGGGGATGACCACCTGCTGGCTTAGGCCCGCTCCCTGGGGGATTGGGGCTCTGATGGCAATCAGACATCCCTCTGGCAGCCCGGCAGCCCTCGGGGGATGTCCACTTGCCAGCGGGGAGCAGGCCTAAACTGCAGTCGGACATCCTTAGCGCTGCTGAGGAGGCAGGAGAGGCTCCCACCACCACCGCTGTACTGGCAGCCATCAGCCTGGCTTGTGGCTGAGCAGAGCTCCCCGCTGTGAGAGCGCACTGACCACCAGAGGGCAGCTCCTGCATTGAGCATCTGCCCCCTGGTGGTTAGTGCATGTCATAGCAACCGGTCATTCCCAGTTGTTCTGCCTAGGGTCAATTTGCATATTACTCTTTTATTATATAGGACTAGAGGCCCCGGTGCACAAAAATTTGTGCACTCGGGGGTAGGGGGGTCCCTCAGCCCGGCCTGTGCCCTCTCGCAGTCTGGGACCCCT